GGTTTAAATACTGCCACACCACCCTTCCTTAAAACGAGGAACAGTTTTGAGCTGTGTGTGGCTAAAATAACCAGACATTCTGCATTTTTCCAATAGGACTACAAAAAATCTTAGCGAGAAGAAAAAATGGCGGATTGGCTCTGTGTTTAGCCGAGGGCCATTACCATATTTGGTAGTTATCCTCACTAAATTAATTACTGATGTAATAGATAATGTAAAAACTGAACGGGTGGACAAATATGCCCAAAACTTAATTATTAAATATCTAAATAGCAACTCCAGTGAATAATATAAGCCTTTTTGCTCACTTAGACACTTAAAATGTGAAACACACCGTGTTAATGGATAAAAAAGTGGGTTTTTCATGTTATGTCTCCTTTAAGTGAGACTTAAAACCCCAGTGGAGGAGGAGAGTCTGATGTTCAGCGGGAGATCATTCCAGAGTTTCGGAGCGCAGACAGAAAAAGCTCGTTCACCACGGGTTTTGCAGCGTAGACGGGGAATCTGTGTAGGTCACCTGAACGGAGAGTCCTGCCCGGCACATAAGGAGTAACTCGGATATGTAAGGTGGTGCTAAGCCATTCAGCGCATTAAAAACAAACAATAACATTTTTAAACGTATACGGTAGTGCACAGGAAGCCAGTGGAGTCTTGCTAAAACTGGAGTGATGTGCTGCCGACGGCCAGTATTGGTCAGAAATCTTGCTGTCGCATTTTGTATCAGCTGAAGGCGAGATCATGCGGCTTTTGAAATGCCAAACAGAATTGGAGTAGTCCAACCCTGAGGTGATGAAAGCGTGAATAGTTGTCTCGAGGTGGCGCCGATTCAGAATGGGTTTTAGTTTGGAAAGACGTCTCAGCTGATAAGAACACGATTTAACCATGTGATTAACGTGAGGGTCCATTTTTAGAGCCACATCCATTTTAATTCCAAGATTAACAATTGTTTGACTAATTTTAAAAGGAAGAGCAGAAAAATCAGGAGCGGAGGAAGACGAGCCATTAGGAGTAAAAACAATAAACTCGGTCTTAAAATCATTCAGCAGCAGAAAATTTGCTGCCAGCCAGTCTTTAACCTCACTCAGGCAATCAAGGAGCGGCTGGATGGAGGTAAAAGTCTTCAAGGGAACATAAATCTGGCAGTCGTCTGCATAACGATGAAAGTTGATGTTGAACTTCCTAAAGATCAGTCCCAGTGGAAGAATATAAATGCTAAATAAAAGGGGGCCAAGGATAGAACCCTGTGGCGCGCCCCTAGGAAGAGCAGCAGAGGGAGATGTACAGTCGTCCATCCTAACTCTAATAGACCTGTAGTCAAAGTAGGAGCAGAACCAGTCAAGCGCGGATCCCTTAATGCCGACCAAATTCTCAAGGCGGGACAATAAAATGTCATGGTCAACCGTGTCAAATGCAGCCGAGAGGTCCAACATCACCAGGGCAACATGGGAACCGGAAACAGTAGCTAAAATAATATCATTAAAAACCCTGATGTGAGCGGATTCTGTGCTGTGATATCGTCTAAAACCAGACTGAAACTTATCCAAGACCCCAAAATTGTTCAGATGGTGCAACATTTGATTATAAACAGCCTTTTCCATCACTTTTGACAAGAAGGGGAGCTTTGAAATAGGGCGAAAGTTCCCGAGGACAGTTGGGTCTAGGCCAGATTTTTTCAGTAGTGGTTGAAGCACGGCATGTTTAAAAACAGAGGGTATAATTCCTGAAACAAGGCTGGAGTTAATAATGTTGAGCACATAAGGGGCTACCACTGGAAGAACCTCCCGGAAGAGTCTGGCTGGTACAATGTCATCAGGACATCCTGATGGCTTCATGGAAGATATTAATCTCTCCAGGGCAGGCAGTGTGATCGGCTCAAAATGGTCAAAGCATCCGGTACAAACACATGGGTAGCAGAACATCTCCGGGGTAAATGATTAGACTCCTAATGTTGGAGACTTTGTCTAGGAAAAACCTTGGGATGCTTCAGCGTCAGCCTGTGTCCAGGACTCCGTAGTACTAAACATGTCCAGGTGTTTATCAGAGAAATAATCCTCCAGGATAGCGGTTTTATTTCCAACAGAGCAGGAGAGAGCTGCAGATCCAAAGAAGAGGCGGAAAGGTGTCCAGCGAAAGCGTGCAGGTTGGCGTGGTTGACCCTTGACCCCGCGGCGACGCGCTGGAGCTGCGTCCTCATACAGACGAACCAAGGCACAGACGGAGAATCAGCGAGGGGAGAATGGGCAGGACAGCCGGCAAGGCCTGGATAGACCCCCGGGAAATCGCCATGGCAGCTCGAGCCCGGACACAACGGCCCCCGCGCTTACCGCGGCGATGGGCGTGGCAGCCTCCACAGGTAAGCAGGAACACCTGAAACCGTTTCTGATGTTCAGTGGCTTTGATGCTGCATAATCCACAGGTAAACGAAGCTTTAAAAGGGTGAGTCTGTCATACACCAGCATGGAGCTGACACCATTCACTAGAATACTAGAAAACAGGAAAAACAGGAGAAGACGGCCGGCCGAGCACCTTGGCGCCATCTTGAATCTCATCAGTACACGTGTCGTAGAACATCTCCTTGCCTGGACTTTATTGTGTTTAATCAGAAGATTCTAGGAGTCTTTATTCATCAGGGGATTGTACACTTAGCTTTGATTCAGGAAACAATCAGGTTTGTAAAAGTAAGAATTTATTTTACAAGCAATTAAAACTTGACTGACTGGTTAACTATTTTTTACTGTGATGGATGGATCTAGTTGTGATGTATGAAACCTATGTGTGAATGTTCCCCATAAGGAGTTATTAGTGGGTAAAAGTAAAAATGGAATTTGGGTTTGTGGAATATTCCCTTCAACTGTTAGGACTTAACCGCTACAGGGCTCCAGGAACCCACAGCATGACCAAGTCACCCCAAGTCTGCACCTCATGTATAGACAGGAAATACAACCATGCACACACACACACACACACACACACACACACACACACACACAAACAAACTTGTGTAGCTTGAAACAGAGAACTATGGGACAGGCGACGGAAAATTCACCCCCTTTTGGTTCGATGGGAGTTGGGTTATCAGAGTCTTGGGTTCTAATATCATCCAGATTAGTGGAACCCTTGTGCGGTTTGATTTGGTTCCTGTGGACCCACTTATAGACGGGATCTTGTTTCCTTCGGTGATCTGGATCTGATACACGACCAGAGAGGGTTTTTCTGTTATCAGGTATGGACCTGACCACTTCGGCAAAAGTTTCTTAGCCAGTTTACCAGAGGTTGCTTTTGTGTGACCGGAATTAGGAGCAAAGATGTAGAACCAGGTCTCATTACCCATGCCGAGTTCAGAATGTGAGGCCTTCTGATCGTAATAGGCCTTCCTGCCCTCAGCTGATCTCTCCAGATTTGTCTGTGCTAAAGAAAACGCTGCAGGCAGATGGTTCTTCAGGTCCTGCAAATACTGCTCGCTAGTGTAAGCCGGGTCGGCACTGGGTTGAACTGACTGGTACAGCAGGTGAAACGGCAGGGTCATCTGTCTACCGTCATTTCAAACGGGGAGACACCTGTAGACTCATGGGGAGTGGCCCGTATGGCCATAAGGACCAACGGAAGCTTCACATCCCAGTCTCTGTGACTAGAGGACACATATTTCCTTAAAATGCTGACAACAGTCCGGTTCATCCTTTCCACCTGGCCGGAAGATTGGGGCCGATAACCAATGTGGAAATTGGCCTTGACACCCAACATCCGCCAAAGACGCTCCATCACTCCAGAGGTGAAGTGAGTTCCTCTATCCGAGTTAACACGTTCGGGGAGGCCGAACCGGGAGAAGATGTGATTCATCAAGAGGACAGCAGTTGTCTGAGCCGTGTCGTTAGGTGCCGACTAACATTCAATCCATCTGGTGAATGCACAGGTCACGGTCAAGAAGTATTTGTTACCTCTGCTGGACTTGGTCAGGGGCCCCACCCAATCGAATTGCAGGTCCAACCATGGAGTGGACGGTCCACTGCTCTGTAGCGGAGCCTTGTGGATGGGATTAGACGGCTGAAGTTGACAGCAAACCAGACAGCTCTGGACATAGTTTGAGATGTCTCGACGCATCCCCGGCCAATAAACAACCTGGCTCAGGGCACCGAGCGTGGCCTTGACACCTTTGTGTCCAGCAGAAGGAGAGTCATGAGCTTGCATGATCATGCCCCCCCTTAGGGACGGTGGCGCCACAAGGACAGGTGACGACGGAGGCTTGGAGACGTGCATCAGCAACCCTTCAACCATCCTCAGTGTGACACGAACCTGAAAGAGAGCACGGAGCTCAGGAACGAGTCAAGCTCGACAGAGGAAGGCAGATGAGCCGTCGGATCAGAGAGATACAGGATCATCCTGCTGACAGCAGGGTCCTGGGACTGGAGGCTGACAAGGTTGTTTCCAGAAAAGACGGGTTGAACGGACACAAAGCCATCAGTTGGTCGAGGGGTGGACGCGTTAGCGGCCTGAGCTCGGGTCACGACACACACATTGGGTGGGTCTGACCGAGGGGACACATCGTCAGGGAGCCACAAGGGGTTGAAGGACCATGGGGTACCAACAGCTGCACCTTGTTTGGCAAGAGAGTCTGCAAGATCTTTCAGATCCTTATCAGTTCCGGGTGCACGAGGATGACCTTTGACTTTACGCCAATAGATCTGAGTGTCATGTGATGTTATCAGTAGATCTGGTCGCTCTCGGAGTGTGGTACCTGAAGAGGGCCCAGGTTCGTTCGGCCGCGTTAGGAGAGGCAGTGGAGGACGTTTGGCTGCATCAGACTGACACACGCAAGTAGCCAAAGATACTTTGTCAGTCCTGAAAACTGAAACAAGACTGTTTCGGGCCGTAGACTGGTGTCGGTGCGGCTGTGCGAGGGGTCGCTGCAGGTGAGGGACCTTTCAAAGAACAGGATGTCAATGTTATGATTCCAGGATGTCAGCAAGCAGTTCAGGATCTGGTGGCTTGTTGGCAGCTAGAATATAAAATCCACCTCACAGGACTGAATTAGGTCTGTAGACGACCGATGACCTGTAGGTCATCTGTAGGTGAAAACTGACCATTTGTGGACATTACGTGCGTGCGTGCGTGCGTGCGTGCGTGCGTGTGTGTGTGTGTGCGTGCGTGTGTGTGTGTGTGCGTGTGTGCGTGCGTGCGTGTGTGTGTGTGCGTGCGTGCGTGCGTGCGTGTGTGTGTGTGTGTGCGTGTGTGTGTGTGTGCGTGCGTGCGTGCGTGTGTGTGTGCGTGCGTGCGTGCGTGCGTGTGTGTGTGTGTGTGTGTGCGTGTGTGCGTGCGTGCGTGTGTGTGTGTGCGTGTGTGTGTGTGTGCGTGCGTGCGTGTGTGTGAGTGCGTGCGTGCG